ATTAAATCTCGCACAATAGGCGTTCGTCCACATAGGTGCCTAGCTAACCATTTCCATACGTGGCAATCTCGATCACGAGATCGTCACGACAGCCGTATTGGAACCGTATTGGAACTGTATTAGATCAAAATGGGAACCGTATTGGAACTGTATTGGAACCGTATTGGAACTGTATTAGATCAAAATGGGAACCGTACGGGAACCGTATGGGAACCGTACGGGAACCGTATTGGAACTGTATTGGAACTGTATTGGAGCAGAATGGAAACCGTATGGGAACCGTATTGGACCCGTATGGGAACCGTATTGGAACCGTATTGGAACTGTATTAGATCAAAATGGGAACCGTATTGGAACTGTATTGGAACTGTATTAGATCAAAATAGGAACCGTATTGGAACCGTAATGGAACCATAACAATACGGTTTCAATACCTTTAGTATAACTGAATACCTTTTAGTACTAAGCCTTTCCAGTTAGTAGCCTTTACAGTATTCCTAAGCTAATTCCTAAGCTAATTCTCTTCCCATTTCAGGTTACACATGGTCTCCAGTCGCAAAAACGAATTACGAATGGGATTTCGTCTTCCCCGATCCACAAGATCGAATCGATTTTGTGTTTTATAAAGGAAAAGTGAAACCTGAAAAGTTGGATGAGAACATATTCCTTTCAATCGAGCTTTAGAATCGAATTGTACGCGGGAAAAGAAACACTGAAGATGATGCCCGATCATTTCTACAATGATTATCCATCAGATCATTATGCTGTCATTGCCGATTTTGTGTTTAGGGAAAGTGAATCGGAAAACAAAGAATAAAGCTGTAAAAGCGCGTTCTTTGACGAAAAATTTGGAGAATCTGAATATCGAAATGATTTTATTTTTAAATGTCTTGTAGCTTTTTCAAATAGAAAAAGTGGATCATTTTACTATAAAGACAAAAGTGATTCTATCTTTTGATACGATTTCTAAAAACCTTTTAAAAACGCCGTCAATGAACATTTCAATAGTAAAAGCATTGAATTGGAACAAATCCAAACAAACAAATATCGGGGGAGCGGTCCGATTATCGGGGGAGCGAAATGAAAATCAAGAGAGTATTCGTTCCTAGGTATAAACGGGTGTGGACTAGAATTTGGGTTAAGTTAAAGAGAGTGGATCCCTTTTGATATCCCGCCATCTCTAACACCCCGACAACCCAACTCAACTCCTCCAACGCGTTGGAGGACTCCCCTCTAATACGTGGCAACGTATTAGAGGGGAGTCCTTGTGAAATGGCCGGCTTGAACTGCAGTTGCATAGACCCGGAAGGTATGTATCTTTATTTACAGTAGTACAATAAGACGAATAGATTACAAATGAGTGTAAGGGGAAGGGGCGACTCCAAATGAGAGTCTCACTTGTCCTCCTTGGCAATCCCAAGGACCGCCCCTTCTCGGCAATAAAAGGGATAAGGGGAGAACACATTTGCATAAGAATAGACAAATCATTCAATAATAACAATAGTAACTAAAATATCAGTTTGGCTCGGAGCTGACAGGAGTAAATTTTGCCCTCACGAAAAATGCATTTCCAGGAGTGTATTTTAACTGCAACGTTTTTTTTAAACTTTAACGACGATGCGCTTCTCCGACATTTGTGCGTTTAAGAAATCGACGGCAATCGATTATTTCGTCACCAAAGGAGTCATCCAGTCATGGATTTGCAACTTTGGTGAATTGATGAAAGTCCGCTCAAAGGGAAAATATCTATTTCGCTCTCGCTTTCGATCTATTTCGTATTCTAAGTCACTTTTGTGATCTAATATAAAGGTTGTGAAAATAACGGGTAATTCGGGGATTTTATGGTGGTAATTTGTATAATATAGGACATATGTAGCGCTGGCAAAATTTGCTCTCCTGATTTTCATTTCGCTCCCCCGATAATCGGGCCGCTTCCCCGATATTGGAAAATTACCATATTTTCTCTCTCGTTATTCGAATTCGTGCAATTAGCCCGTTGGGTTAAAGTCAAATACAGATAACAAATAAATTGTGGTTGGTAAAACGAAATTTGTGCCATAAAGTGCAAAAGACTCAAGCCTCTTGCTCTCAACACAGATACAGGGTGCGCCAAAAGTTCCCGTACTTTTTCCATAAACGCTTTAGGTTTTATCTTTAGTTGCTTAATGTTGATGTATTTACTTTTTTACATTTATTGATTAGATTTTGATATTATCTTTTAAGAAAAGAGCAATTATTACTTTTACAGATACAACAAACATGACCACCGAGGTAGCGAAAAGAAGGATATTCTATTAGGTTGTCCATTTATGAATGCACGCCTGCTCTTGAACAACTTGAACAGCATTCCTTAGAGCTTTACAATTTTATTAAACCCAATTTTCTATATGCTGTTCAGGATTTCTTATTTTATTACAACATTTCGTGTTTTTGACGTCAAACCAATTTTTGATTTAATTTCTTTGTTTAGATTTAATTTCTGTGAATGACACAAAGTTTCGTCTCCGTGCCAGTCTTTGGTATGACTTCAAATTGGGCAAAAATATCGCTGAATCTCATCGAGGCCTTTGGAAAGTATTTTGGAAGATGCTATTTCGGAAAGCCAGTTGGGCGGAAAGCCCGGCGATGGTTTCAACGATTTCGAGAAGGAGAGAACGATTTTTGGGAGATGAGGACCACCGGCCTCCTACGATCGATAATGCAGTACTTAAACAGGCGATCGAAATTGATCCTCGACAAACTACACGTGAACTTGCAGAAATATTTGGAATCAGCCCTCAAAAACGCGCATTTATAACTGGACAACCTAATAATAGAAGAGCCCCCTATTGTCGCGTAGTCTAAGTTTACACTCAAAGAACAGCTCATATCTTGGCGCTCAGACATTTGTTTCTGCGCGCTAAGATATCAAATTAAAGTAGAGAAAATGGGTGATTTTTTGAGATGTAGCACATATTTTTAGCATTAATCAGCGCTTAGAACAAAAAGATTAAAAAATGATGGAAAATCGACTTTTTTTTGCCACTTTTCAATCATTTTTTCCTAAGCACTGGTTAATGCTAACAATAGGTATCATATCTCAAAAAAAATCACCCATCCTCTCTACTTTAATTTGATACCTAAGCGCTGATTGAAATATTAATCTATTAGAATATTTACGGTAACTTTTCAAAATCCTATAGATTTTCTGAAAGCTAACAGAACGTTCTAAGTCATATTCATAAAACATAAAGTATTCAAGTCTATTCAATATCTTTGATGCCGTAGTTGAAACCTTTACCCTCAATGTTTCAGCTCATCTCCCTCATCATTGAGTTACAAAAACAAGGAAAGAAAGCGATGGAAATTGTTCGTATTAAAGGATTTTCAAAAATGACGGTCTATGATGCAATAAAACGATTTAATGAGTTGGGAAATGAAAAGGATAGAGCAAGAAGCAAGAACCAACTGCAACAACACCAGAAAAGGTCAATAAGGTGCACTGTCAAATTAACTGCAACAACACCGTTACGATCGATGAGAAAAATGGCAGTGGCTTTGAAAATTGGCTTAACAAGTGTCAGAAGAATTGTCCATATGAAGCTAAAAATGTCTAGCTACCGGATCTGTACTCTAGTGTTAAGATAAGAACTTTTTGGTATACCAATAGAGCTTCTCGACCAAACGTAACAGTATAAAAGAGATTGACGAATCAAAGAGTGAAAGAAATAGCTCAAAAATATAAACTAAACAATCTAAGAACTCTTTTTTGATGAACAGATTCGATTCATTCGTAAAATTTAGCCTCTAGTCAGTTTTAATTTGATTTTAATTCATTTTAACCCTTAATCAGTGATAAGTTTGTAAATTAGAGGATTGATAAATTTAAATAACGTCATTTTCAAGTCATTTTACTTACTTTAGACAGCGTTAAAGCTTTTCAAATCTTCATTGAATCGAATGGTGGTAAAAGAATGGCAAAAGATGGGCAAAAAGTGATGTTGTCCTTCTCCCCAAATTCCCCTTTTCATTGCACTTTTGTTGAACTCTGTGCTCTTTTCTTTCATTCCATTTCCTTTTTCAGAAAAGCCGACCAGATGCCAACTGGAGAAGGCTTTTCTCTTCTTTTCTCTTCTCTTTTGTCTTCTCTTCTCTTCTCTCTTCTCTTCTCTCTTCTCCTCTCTTCTCAGCTCTTCCCTTCTCCTTTTCTCTCTTCTCCTCTCTTCTCAGCTCTTCCCTTCTCGTTTCTCTCTTCTCCTCTCTTCTCATCTCTCCCCTTCTCCTTTTCTCCTTTCTATTCTCAATCCATATCTAGCATAGTTTTCAAGTTTTTTTCTTCTTTTCTGCTCCTGAATACTTTCTATTCTTTGATTATTCACGGAATTAATTGACATCTAAACTTTTGTTCCTTTTTTAAAACCAGTTCCAACTTTTATACTTTTTAAACGAGCTTTTAACTTCAAGCTTCGAGCTATTCACAGTAATTTCCTGTTTTCTGTTTCCTTAGCTTGCTTATATACTAGAATTGCTTATCGATCAAACGTTGTGTTCAATTGTAAACGGTAATCACGAAAAATAACTAGTGAATCTGTTGTCGAATATAACCGATTAGAAAGCTATTTTAAAAGCTCGATACATTTCTCCATTTTCTCGTCGAGTCTTTTTCTCGAAACTACTCCATTTCCTTGATAAGACAATTGATTCTGAGTAAAGTTTTCTTCAAAAGAGAAATTTCAATTTCTGTTTTATTTTTGAACTTTTCTTTTCGATAGAAAACATAGATCTTGTTCTCATTGCTCAAATATTTTGATTGTTGTCCAAATTCCCGTTCAATCAGTTCAATAATCATCTTTTATTCGTTAAATTGCCATTGGCTGACTGAATTTTCGATGTTTCTTTCATTTGATAAGATAATAGTTTAAAGATCAATTAAAACTTAAAAGAAATGAAGATTCTCTATTTCTTCCAGAGTTAGAACTCGATTTCTGACGCTAAATAATCGATTTCAGGTAGCGTTTTTCATGTTTTCTTCAAGTGGTTGTCTCTTTTGTGATCTTCTCTATATAATCCCTCTCATCACAGCTTTTTATTTCTTGAGGTAAGTGAAAATTGAGAAGTAATCCATCTTTCCTACACAATTTGCATAATCAAGGTGATCTTTAATAGTTTCTAGATGGATTAGATTCATCTGATGGGGCCAGGTCGGGACTATAAGGCGCGTGGGGCAGAAGTTTCTAACCAAGCTCGTCGATTTCTTTGTCTTAAATGCTGATGATGACAAAAAATGATATACAAACTTCCTAAGCACTTACAGGAAACTTTTTTCTGCATATCTCAAAAGCTTTCCGATCTCCAAAAGTTAATTTCCTTTTTTTTGTCGTTTTTTTGTCGTTTTTCCTTTTTCTTGGAAGAATTTGCTCTTTTGATTAATAGTTTTCCGCTAGATTTCTTAAGATTTACTTAGATTTGACTCTCGTTAAGAGAAAAATGAAATAAGATTACATTAAGTTGATTAAAATAATACGAAAATTGGTTGTCTAAAGTTATAAACTTGTGACAAGTACAGAACGATTGTAACAATTGTAAGAACTATAAATTTTGTATAATAACTATTGTAAGAACTATTGTAAGAACTAGTTGTTATGAAAGCTTGAATAGCTTCCTTTAGACAATACATTCGTGGTGGTCAATTCAAGGAGAACGTGCGAGCGAACGGGAAAATTGCTGTGGTTACAGGAGCGAATTCTGGAGTGGGAAGGGCATTATGTGAGGAGTTGAATAAAAGGTGAGATTTGGGAAAGATTTCGATACGAGTACTTGGCCTTACTATTTACTATAGCACAGTAAAATATAGTGCTTTAATACAGCAGTATTCATTATCTTCTATTCATTTAGGGGAGCTAAAGTCTACATGTTATGTCGAGACGAGAAACGAGCCGCTCAAGCAAGAGAACAGCTTGTTGAGGTGAGAAAAGCTTTTGAATAAAACTTATCTTCAATATTCAGTTATTGGTATAATCTATTGGGTTGGTGAATTGAAAACTGCGGGCTATTGTGATCTGTGACAGTTTGAGGACTTTCTTCAAAAGAAACCCATTTTGGTGTCAATGGAAAAGTTGTAGAGAATCAAAAATCAAGCTTATATCCAAATTTTCAGAACGATTCAAAAACTGGTTTTCAAGAAATGCCAAATTTACACAAAAGAAATGCCAAATTTTCACAAAGCTTGCATTTTAAGCGAAACTACTAAGTGTATCTTTTTGGAAATTTGGCTATAAGCCTAATTTTTGATTCTCTACAACTTTTCCATTGACACCAAAATGGGTTTCTTGAAGAAAGTGCTCAAACTGGGCTGACAGCTGACATCTCCAGTCCTCCATTTTTGAGTCTCACACTTGTCTCAAACACAAACCAAAATCCTACTACGAAAGAGGAATCCGCAAATTGTCTGTAAAATGGGCCTTTAATGCCGTTAATGACGACCGTTAATGCAATCAAATACAGTGAACAGTTGGGAAAGGTGAATGAATCCCTGAAGAAGAATAGGCCCCCCAAGTCAAAGATCGTTCTCATCCACGACAACGCGCACCCTCATGTTGCAAAACTGACTCGCTCTAAAATAAATAGCCTTGTTTGGGAGTTTTTGGCGCATTCCCCATACATTCGGACCTCGTCCCTTTTGATTACTATTTATTCCGGATCATGAGCTTGCGGGAGAATACTTCGATTCGGAAGCAGTCAAAAATTGGCTTTGCAAGTTCTTCGATTCAAAACCAAAATCCTACTACGAAAGAGGAATCCGTAAATTGCCTGTAAAATGAGCAGAAGTCGTTAATAATAATGGAAATTATTTGAAATGAACTTATGGTTTTATGTTGAATAAATTTTAGTTCAAAGTCCCGCAGTTTTCAATTCACCAACCCAAAATTTACAGAACGGTTGTAATGATTCAAATCTTCTCATTCAAACAGTCGATCTTGCCGATTTCTCGTCGATTCGAGATGTTGTGAAAATATTGTTAACAGGTAGTGTTTACTAGACTTCGATTTACAATTAGTATTAAGCTGTCCAGAAAGTCTTTTCGTTCCTTTTCGACTTGCGATCTTTTTCCAAGCCTGGGTTGACGCTTTAAAGCGTGGTAAAACTACCGTACCCCACATAATTTGCAAAAAGAAAGCGCGCAATTTCATTCTTTCATTCTTGTTCTTCCTTTCAATTTCATTCTTTTTGCGTCCTGACACTGCCCATTCTGATTTTGTCTTTCAGTAATTATTCTGAAACAATCATGATTTTTTAACTGAACTGAATCAGCAACTTCTAGATATGTAAGAAAAAATGTTTCTCTATTTTCTGCAAAGAATTTGCCAAGTTTCATTTTTTGTTTCGTAAAACCGGGGCTATGCGCGTTGGGGTAGACAGTGGGACTATCCTCAATTTTGCCAGTGGCATTTTAATTTTCTTGGGTTTTCGACAACGCTCATTAGATTGCAAATGCACTGCCTACCCCCAACGCGCATAGCCCCGGTTTTACGAAACAAAAAATGAAACTTGGCAAATTCTTTGCAGAAAATAGAGAAACATTTTTTTCTTACATATCTAGAAGTTGCTGATTCAGTTCAGTTAAAAAATCATGATTGTTTCAGAATAATTACTGAAAGACAAAATCAGAATGGGCAGTGTGAGAACGAAAAAAGAATGAAAGAATGAAATTGCGCGCTTTCTTTTTGCAAATTACGAGGGGTACGGTAGTTTTACCATGCTTTAAAGTGTCAATCCAGGATTTTCTCGAATGGGAATGAAAAGGGACTCTTTGGACTTAATAATTCAGTCTAATACGGTGATTTTTACGATATATTTTCTTCTATAACTGTCAAATATTGTAGATTCTTTAAAACCAAACTTTTAGAAGAGTCCCATATCGATATTTTGATCAATAATGCTGGTCTACTTGGTATCCCACAATTCGAGAAGACGAAAGATGGAGTGGAGAAGACATGGCAAAGCAATTATTTGGGTAAACAATATTCAGGAAACGATTTTCACAACTCCTCCCAATTCAGGTCATTTCCTATTAACCGAACTTCTTCTTTCATCGCTCGAAAAATCATCGGATCCTCGGATTGTCAATGTTTCGAGTATAGTTCATCCTTTAGCTGATTCGATCGATCTCGATTACGGTTTGTTATACTTATTTTCAAATACAGGGTGCGTCATAATTATTGCAACAAGATACTCAAGGCATTGCACACCAAGAAGTTTCACTGGAAGAAGATTTTTAAACAGAAATAGCTTTATTTAACAGTAACAAATAAGGAAACAAGAGAACATTCGATATGACCGCCTTTTGCCTTGATAACAGCCCTTAATCGGTTCGGATATGCCTCCACTGCGGCCCGGATGTCATCTTGAGGAGTCGCCTTCCATCTTTTGGTCAAAGACTTCTTCAAAGAATCCAAACTTGTGTGTTTTCGAGAGCAGACATTAGCCTCTAAGATTGCCCAAATGGAAAAGTCCATCACATTGAGATCCGGTGAGTTTAGAGGCCATTCATCCTTGGTGATCACTGAGGGAAAGTTGGCCACACACAAGTCCTGAACCGTCTTCTTCGTGTGAGCGGGAGGCAATTAAAAACGACGCAAGTACCAGACCGTGGCCCAGCACTTCGAAGCTCCCGGCTACTCGGTCATCCTCGACGCCTTCGTGGTCGGCCCGCTCGGGGGTTGGGGCATTGACAACGACATCTTCCTCAAGAAGCTCGGTGTCTCCTTCCGCTACGCACGTCTCATGAAGAAGCTGATGGTGTCGGATGCCGTGAAATGGAGCCGGGACATCTACACTGGTCGCCATCACCCGCCGACACAATGTCAAAGCCCTCAAGCCGCCAGTCACAAGCGAAGTCCGACTCAACCAGCGCGTGCCCAACGTCGTTGAGAATCTCCGTCCCGACATCTTGATCGTTGACCCAGCCCTCAAGACGGTGAAACTCATCGACGTCACCATGCCATTCGAGAACCGACCCGAAGCGTTCCAAGTCGCCCGCCAAGAATAAAGAAGATAGAACGTAACACAACAAAAAAGGGGGCAAAAGAAAATAAGAAAGCTGTTTGGAAAACGGTCTTTGAACTCTTGTTGCAATAATTATGACGCACCCTGTATTGTCACTCGTTATTTCAGTGAATAACCCAAAGAACTATGGCCGAATGAAAGCTTACAGTCGATCGAAATTGGCGAACGTGAGAGACGAATGAGAGAAAGTTTAAGATCAGATTCAATGTCTAACTTTTAGATAATGCATTCTCGAGAGTTATCCACACGTTATCCAAAAATTAAATCTTCATCTTGCCATCCCGGCAACATCAACAGCAATATTCTCTCGACAAGTGGATGGATATTTCTCAAGGTTTTTTTAAAAATATTTTCTTGAAAACATTAATCCCAAGATGATAATTTGTTGAGAAATTCCCAAAAAATTACGCTTAATTTAAACATTTCTGCTTTGTAGCGACCAAAAATTAAAGAAAAAGTTGGGAAATCAAATTGTTATAGGCTTAAATCCGATGGTTAGGATTAGTAAGAGTCTAATTACAGTAATCCTTGCAGTAGATCTTGTACAGTACTCTCAGTATACCTTCTATAGCCGATACCTTCTACAGTACCCGGCATCGGTGGATAGATCTTTGCCGGGCATCGACCGGTAGATCTTTGCCGGGTACTTTAGTTACAGTCCTTCACTCCTTCACCCAGGCAATCCAGGCAACAATTAAACCAATTCCAATTGGTTGATTCAATAAAATGAATAGCACCAATTGATTCTCTGACCCGGAAAACCTCCGGGTACAAATTTACAGCAAAATATCTTTAATTTGTACCATCGACAAAGCAAAAGAGAAATCTATGTTGGTGTTCTTTGGGTGCGCTTAGAATCGCTCGCCATCTGGCAAATCGTCCTGGTACAAGGGGCTTCCCTTTTCGAATCCCTTTTCGAATCCCTTTTCCGAATCCCTTTTCCGAATCCCTTTTTCGAATCCCTTTTCGAATCCCTTTTCGAATCCGCCATCCGCCAATACTTGACTTTGTACCTGATTTCACATTACTTCATTATAAAATCATAATCATTCTCCAGGATATCTTCGCTCCAATCTTTTGGTTTTGCTTCAAGACTGAAATGGATGGAGCACAAACACCGCTTCATCTTGCACTCAGTCAACACCTCAAAGGAAACGGATTATATTATAGGTGACCTATGGAAATTAGATCCAAAAACCTCGACTTGAGCCACTGAAAATCATTGTAAACTTATAAAAACCGATTTTTACAGTGTTTCTCCTAGAGAAAACGATTTAAACTCTAAATTTTATATTCTCACACCAATAAAAAACCAAGTTTTGTCTCAAGAATCCAAATTTTCACATGATTCTTTTGTTTCAGTGATTGTGTTGTTGTGGAAGAGAGTGAAAAGGCACGTTTCGATGGAGATTGTGTCAAATTATATGAACAGAGTCGACAAGTTGTACACAAATGGTTATGAGAATGATCAGCCGCATTTCGTTCTAGTTTATGGTTCAAGTGTACTCACTTTTTTGTTGATGACTTTTGATAGCTTTAGTCTACGGTAAATACACAGCTTTTGAGCACGGGTAATTATTTTGCGTTGATAAAAGTTGAATAAAAAGTTTGCTCATATAAAAATTACAGAAAACTTGGGTAATTGAACCGAAAAAACGGCTTTCTGGCTACTAGCATCCGGGGCAGTAGGCCAGAAGCCAATTTTTCCTATAAGTGACACGAGCGGTACGCACACTTGGGTAATTAAACCGGCCTGGACGGTTTTCCGATTGAGCCTACCGATTGGACCGTGTGCCAGAAGCCAATTTTTCCTACAAGTGACACGAGAAGTACGCACACTTGGGTGATGAAAACGGGTTGAACGGTTTCCGCTCGGGCCTATCCGGGACCGTGTGCCAGAAGCCACTTTTTCTTACGAGAGACACGAAAGGTACGCACACTTGGGTAATTAAACCGGCCTGGACGGTTTTCCGATTGGGCCTATCCGGTACCGTGTGCCAGAACCCAATTTTTCCTACAAGTGACCCGATAGATACGCACACTTGTGTAATGAAATTGGCTTTAGCGTTTTTCCGATGGTCTCTATTCAGAGCAGTATGCCAGATGCCGCTTTTTCCTATCAGCAACATGAAGGGTACACACAACGAAAAGCTTTAGCTTAATTGTTGATTTCATAATTAATAGAAATAGACCCTGAAGTTGAATGTAAAATTCAATTTCAGGGTCTATTTCTATGATTAATTATCAATTTCTGTGCTACTGAGTATTCTGCAGTGAAGCTCTCTTGGGAGATCCGATTTTTGATTCATTAAATTTTTACATTCTTTCTTTCAACAAAACGAGCTGAATTTTCATCTATAAAACTATCTTTTTAAAGGCTATAAGTCTATAAATCTATAAATGTATCTATCTTTTTAAAAGCTTTACTTGAAGTTTTATCAAAATTTTCAAGGTTCTCTAAAAATTTGTAGCGTTCAATGCTTAAAAATCACCACTTTCCCACGATTCGTTTAAGTCGAAAAATCTCGTTTTTTTTTTAGCTAATTTTTTGTGTTTCTAATTTTGAACTATCAAAATATTCATTTCAGTCTATGGAACTATTTATTCCGTTAATTTATTTATTTATTGCAATTATTTTTGTTTGCATTGGTGTTTACGGGAATTTGAATGTGATTTGGGCGAGTATACGGAAAAAGGAATTACGGGGAAAACATGGTTTGTTTGTATCTCTTGATTCGATGGAACATTGCTCTGCTACTCTTTTCTGTACCAGTTTCATTCAGAATCTAGTCATCACATTGTTTAGTATCAAATTCTGGATCTAGCTGTTGTTAGTGTCAGTATTGTGGGGTCTAATGGAATCAGATATGAGTCTAATGCCAGATCTGATACAGTAAATACTTGGCGTAAACTGTAAATGTTAAATCTATAAACGATCTCTGTTCATTCATCAATTTAGGTGTTCTCTTACAAATCTTTGTTTCATTTCACACAATTTGCCTTTTATTCGAATTGATCTTTACGAGTCTGAACGTTATAAATCGTGCCTATGGATGGACACAGGTAACAAAAAGAAAAAGATTAAAGTTTTCTTTGCGGAATATCATTTACCAACTGTTTAGCTGTCATTTATCGGGGGGTAGTCAAAACAGCACCATAATAGAAAAAGTTCAAAACAGCGCCGTCAAATTTCTCAAAATCCAAAAAACCAAGCCGGTTCAAGTTTTATATCAAAAAATTCCTTGCGTTCTTGGCTACATGATGGGTGAAACAGTTTTTTAAAAAAGTTAATATTTCATAGATAAAAAGAGCACTAAAGATATTCAGTTAACCAACTGAGTATCACCCGACACACATTTTGAGTGCTCTTTTTATCTATGAAATATTAACTTTTTTAAAAAACTGTTTCACTCATCATTTAGCCAAGAATGCAAGGAATTTTTTGGTATAAAACTTGAACCGGCTTGATTTTTTGGATTTTGAGAAATTTGACGGCGCTGTTTTGAACGTTTTCCATTATGGCGCTGTTTTGACTCACCTGCATTTGGCCCTCCACTACTCGATGATAACAAAAAATTAGGAAATGCCAGGGAGTAGACTTTGTCAAAATGTTGTCTGCGGTCATTTTGAGACCAAAATCGTATTAATTTGTCAACTCACAAAAAAGTTATAATGTTTTGAAGACAAAAATGACGTTTGACGACTTTCTGCGCGCTAAAACGTGGATAATACCGTAACCCTTCCCATGGCAAAAAACAAAACTACTTAAAGAGCGCTTGCAAAGGATTTTTTTTCAGTTCATTTTTCTTCTTTTTACGAGCTTTCTTTATCATTTTCATGAAAAAATAAAAGTAGTAAGGAAGCAAGGAAAATTTAAAATCGACAAATTTATGGGACAAAATTAAAAATACAAATGATTTTCGAAAATAGATGAAAATTTTTCGCTTTAAAAGCGTTGTTTGTAATGACGCGTTGGGTGGGGTGGGGGTGCTTTTTAGAGGGGTGGGGTTCAATTATAATATTTCCGGTATGTTAATTTCCTTTACAAATCCAAATTTCTCGTGCGCACGGACAGACAGAGGGACAGCCACTTCTCTTTATTTAGATATTTACAGTTAAGCTTCAAAATCCAAGCAACCAAATTTCAGTTAAACTGTGCCAAAGCCATGTCAGTCTACATGTTTGCCTTATCGGCTCAAGATCTGCTTGCTTTGATTATTGTTGCCGATTTGCTGGTCGCTATTTCATTGCCTATCAAGTTCGTTAGCTAGCTCTTTATGTTCAAAAACGTAAGCACACCTTTTCTGATGTACTCTATAATTCAAAGGTGTGCCAGAAAGTGTATGCCATTTTTGTTCACTTCAAACAAACTCCGCAACAAACCATTTTCAGACATCGTATCTGGTCGTTATCCATTTACATTCCCCTTGTCACCACTCCCGCTTTCATCTTTGGTATCACATTTGTTGCTTTATCCAATGCGTATGCTGATCCGTGAGTGCACCAAAATCTATCGAAATATCAACTTTTAGAAATCTAATCTTACCCGCCTGCAATCCTTTACTTTCAATGAACACTTTCATTGCCGATATTTGGCTTTTATGCAATTTTGGGATCAATGCTGTCATTCTTTTGCTGTACGCTGTGATTAGTGCGCTGATTCGAGTGAAGGGTTTGTAAAAAATGGCTTTCAGAAGTAAAACAAGATTATTTTATTGAGTCAATGCATATGAAATGGCTAAATTTTTCCAAAGGGCGGCTGTTGACGGTCTTTGATTGTAAGCCTTAAGCGCTATGGGGTTTTTTACACCAAAGCACTCCTATTGCTACACAAATTATTTGCCTCATTTTCCACAATTTTAGGATCTGAAAGGTTCCAATACGGTTCCAATACGGTTCCTATTTTAGGTTCCAACACGGTTCCAATACGGTTCCTATTTTAGGTTCCAATACGGTTCCTATTCTAGGTTCCAATACGGTTCCTATTTTGATCTGAAAGGTTCCAATACGGTTCCTATTTTAGGTTCCAATACAGTTCCAATATCTTTATTGATTATTCTTTCAATCGAGAATTTACCACCCGATCATGTTCGACATGTACCTTTGTATGAGTTCCTTCAGAAGCACACATCAAACCTATGTCATGCCAATATTCGGGTTGTATATGGGGATGAGTCTATTAGCGAATACACATGTCCAATGGTTCACAAAGTTTCCATCTGGCGATTATTCTCTTGAAGACGAGCAGCATGGCAGACCCGAGATAAAGTTAAAAGATGCTGCTCTTCTGGTACTTCTTCAAAACGACAATCGGCTTATGAATCAGCAGAACACCTAAAGGTTGACGAATCCACGGTAGTCAGACATCTACACGCCCTTGGGTTTATATCGAAATTGGGGAGTTGGATCCTCCATACTCAGAGATTAAACCGGATCTCGATCAGTGCTGCTCATCTTTTACGATACGAGCAATATTCTTTTCTCCCTCGTATTATTATGGGGAATGGGAAGTTGGTGCTTACTGTGAACTTTTGGCAAAACTTTTGGCGAAACTTTTGGCGGAAACGTCAATCGGTGGTACCCGGAGCGACGCCCGAATCAAATCCGAAGAAGGTTGCAGTGCACCAGAAGAAGTTTATGCTATCGGTATTCTGGGATATGGAAGGAGTGGTCTATTGGGAGTTGCTGGATAGTAAGCCAACATTTAACTCTGCTAAATACATTGAGCAGCTCGAAAAACTATCTACAGCTTTGACAAATGGCAAACCAAAAAGACAAAAATCATCCTCCATGATAACGCCCGCCCTGATGTTTCTTCGATGACTCAGGACAAACTGAAGAGCCTTGGTTGGGAAGTGATGACATATCGCCCATATAGCCTTGCCCCAAGTGATTATCATCTATTCCGGTCGATGAGCAACGAGCTGGTTGGGCATCACTTCGATTCCAAAGATGATGTCAAAAAGTGGCTCACGGACTTCTTGCTAGAAAATCGAAGACCTTTTATGAGAAGGGCATCCGAGATTGGATTGATTGGAGATTGGATTGATTGAAGATTGGATTGATTGGAGATTGGATTGATTGGAGATTGGATTGATTGGAGATTGGTTGATTGGAGATTGGATTGATTGGAGATTGGATTGATTGGAGATTGGATTGATTGTAGATTGGATTGGACCGAGATTGGACTAAATTAGATTGATCTGATGGTTAATCGCAAATAAATGTTTTGTTGAACATTTAGCCATTTCATATGCATTGATCCAAGTGATAACTGTAACTTTTCAGCTGGCCAAGTGGCAAAGAAAGTTGTGACACAAAACGCGTGTGTGATGCGGAAAAAGACCGATGAGCAAAAGGTGAGCAAATAGTATCGAACAAATAGCTAAATCTTGACTTACCTGTTTCAAAAGCAGACAATTCCCTGAAATTCCAGGTCCTCTCTTCTTTATCTCTAATGATCTCCGTTTTTGAACTCTCTTGGTGTTCATTCATCACTTGTCACCTCATCTTGAACTATTCTGGCTTAAAAGCGAACAACGCTGTAGCTGGACCGATTAGGCTATGCTTGGCAAGTGCTATGCTTGGCTATGCTTGGCTATGCTTGGCACGAGAAAATGTTATCAATAAACTTTAGTCAATATTTTCTCTGATTTGCTTCTCTCAATCATATTATGTTTGTCGAATTCGTTCAACTGAATATAGAAAAACTTTTAAAGAGCAACTCAGGTTTTGAATTTTAAATAGACATGGAAAAATCGAGTTTAGAATATTGACATGTCAGAAAAGGAAGAAGAAAGAAAAGAAAAAGCCAAAACGAGTGGAAAAAGAGACGGAGCCGACAACATCGGTGAGGGTGAAAGATTGAGTGCTAAAAAGCTTGAGCTAACAATAAACTAGTCTAAAAGACTAGCTTATTGTTAGCTCGAGATCAAGGCAAAGCTTCAAGACAAAACCTGGTCTTGGTCCGGAAGATTTTGATCAGAATAATATCAGAAATATTATCCAGAACCTGTTCACTCTCCATTTTCAGGCTATTCCATCTCGCAATCGAACTGTCTCAATTGGAGTCGCCCCAATCGATTCATCCAATCAATTTGTTCTACCTCAAATTGTTGTCACTTCTTGATTGATAAAGTGTATTTTGGAACAAGCTCTATTTGACATTAAACTTTAAAATGTCAACAACAACTACAAAAAGGAAACAATGCCAAGAATGCCAAGAATGCCACAAGAAACAATGCCAACTACTAAACAGATTTAAAGAATAGAAGTTGTATCCAAAACGAAGCTAAATATGAAACCCTTCATATCCTACTCTTTTATTATCTATCCAATGCCCAGGGTTCCCTTAATGACTATGTTTTCTGCTTTTCTTTGCCCGGTTTATTTGAGTCTAGTATTTTCAATTGCGCAAATTTCCGTAAGTTTCGACTTTATGCTGGATTTTTACAATGAAAAACCGGAAAAACGAGAGGAATGTGTAGGCACTGAAGAATGTTACGGAGGGATTGTGTGCAGTGTATCTTGATTCAGATCTGAGAAAGAGCTGATGTAAAAGAAATGTACCCAACAAAGTACAGTATCCGAAACGGTGCTACGGTGACCAGTATTCAGTACTCGACATGTTTCGATCGATCCGGTCTGGTTCGGTCGGTAGGTCGGTCCCGGTTTTTCGACCGATCGATCGGGGTCCAAGAATGGGATCGGACCGACCAGGCCCGACCGACCGGGTTCGGCTGGTCCGATACTAATCTATTCAGTACTGGTTCTAATCCAAGCTTTCAGCATAGTACTCAATTAGTACAGCACTTCAATCGTTTCAGCATACCAATTTCAGAAAGTAAACTGTGAGCTTACGGGGAAGATTATTGTTACATAGCATTTCACGAGATTACCCGAATGGTTAACCATTGCCAGTGATTCAAAATTCTGCGAAAATCCGAAAGCAATAAAATGCTGTCAAAAATACTGCGAATACCATTTTCGCGAATGTGTGCGAAACTAAAATCGATTAAATTGAGAATAATTTTCATTTTTGAAAGCCTTCTCACAATTCTTTTTAATTTACCCCCGAAAAAGGACCACATTGTACCGCAATCACAGACTCTTTCAACTGCACTTTCTCATTGAATAAAGAGATTTTAAATCGAAACTTTTTTAAATAGCTAACAAATTTGTATTTTTGCATGGAAAATTAATTACAACACATTAAGACAATATTCAATTACTTAACTGACAAGGGAAGGATGATTGGATCCCGTGGCCTTTTCCGATAATATATAGACCATTCGACGCAGAATTTTACGCTGATTCCAATGATGTAAAAAAAAAAGTAGCTGCGGAGTGGCGCGTAATCACCGCCAAACTGGCATAGAAGTTTTGAGCCTTTCCTTTTAAGCCGATTTTGGGGTAGGCTAATTTTCGCAATTTTTTTTTTGCGCATGGCGTCCTTTGCTGGGTCATTTGCGCTAACATAGCTTTCTTCTAAGTCATCCAACCTTTATGCTTTTGGTTTCATTTTGTAGATCTCAATAAGTGCAACAAAATGAAATCAAAATCTTAAAGATTGACCGACTTAGAAGAAAGTTATGGCGAGATGCGCAAAAAAAAAAATTAACCTACCCGCCGATTTTCTTCAATGTTAGTATTTTTGTTTTATGGTGCATAAACTATATAAATGGGTCGCTCCTGCAACAAATTCCTTTATTCATTCATTAGTTTCTTGATTTGTTGCCGTCTAGAGTTTCTTTTTTGCTCTAAACTAAACCCTAGAAATGTTTTACCACTTTTCACATATCTTACCCCGTAAAGAACATTTCTGTACCCCGACCAGTCCATAATCGATTACCTCACGAAAACCTCGGCACTTTGCAATTTTATTTTTTTTTGCTTTCCGTTCTCCGAAATTTTATTGAATCGAATTTTATCTTTAACTTTAGATACTTAAGCTTCTACTCGTCAGCCAAATGAAGGAGAAGAAGCTGAAGAAAGCGAAGAAAACAAAAGTGGGAGTGGTTGGTTTTAAAAAAGTTATTGAAATAGGGTTAATTTTGCAAATCGAAACTAATCTTTTTGTTTTAGAAAGATGAATCCACCGAAGCTGCTCCCAAATACACACCCGGAGCTTTGAGTGCACTTTTTGGACTTGGACCGAGTAGTGTTGAGGTGGTTTTATTACTTTTTGCTTGTTCAATTCTATTTTAGGCAGCAGTTCCCGATGAAGAACAACCTTGGAATTCGACTCCCACCGGGATACTGACGTCGAGAAAGGTTAGCTTTTTAAAGATCTTTTTAAGCTGACTTAGGTCATAAGGGGAATTTTAAAGCTGCATACGATTAATTCAAAGCAAGTTTCATTAGTTGAATGATATTTGTCTTCACTTTTTTCTATTTTCCTAATAAACAATTTTAATTGCTTATTAGGAAGGAGCTAAAGGGATTTATAAGATATCGTTATCTTAAGAAGAACTATATTATCAATTTTAGAAGCTACAAGAAGCAGTAAAAGCTGAAGTTAAAGAAGAAGAAGAAAAGCAAGATGAAGCAATGGATGAAGAAACAAAAGGAGATGAAGAAAAGCTATCGGCTAAAGAATCGAGAAAAACTCAAAGGTATTTGTTAATGATTTTTTTAGTTATCTACGTATCTACATATGTTCTTTGATGGTCATAAATTATGTAAACAAAACAGATTTACTTTGGTCATTTTTAGGGACAATCGAAAGAAAAAGACGATGACAGAAGATGACAAGGAACGAACAATTTTTGTTGGAAACGTCGAAAAGACTGTAACGGAGAAAACGATAAAGCAACATTTTGCAAAGTATTTTTGCTTAGTAACGTTGACATTAATCATTTTAGGTATGGTCCGATTGAATCAGTTCGTTTAAGAGGAGTAATACCAGCAAAGGGAAATTTGTCCAAAAAGGTACGTTTTATCCGAGCTTTTGTATTGTAACTTGTTTTTAGACGGCCAAGCTTGCAAATAAAATGTCTGATCATCAAAAGACGGTGAATTTCTACGTGAAGTTTACGGAGACAAAGTCAGTTGATGACGCGTTGGAAGAGTAAGGCTTTTGAATATTTTTGTTTATCGTTTTAATAAAAAGATAAAGAAAGTGTTCCCAGAGATCTCACAGTTAATTTTTTTTTACAGAAATGGTACTGAACAGTGGGGGCATCGTCTACGTGTCGATCGTTGCACGAAGAAAGGAGATCTTGAGTCAAAACAATCGATCTTTATTGGAAATTTGCCTTTTGACACAACAGAAGATGCTTTGGTTTGCGTTTTTAAATAATAATCGAGGACATAAGTTGTCTGAGTTTAATTTTTACTTAAAATTTAATTTAAGGCTACCCGCATGGAAACGATGATCGGACCGGTTGAAGCCGTCCGCATTGTGAGAGATCCGAATACTGGACAAGGCAAAGGATTTGCATTTGTGGCTTTTAAGGTAAGTTAAAGTACTGTTATGCTAGCAAGTGTGATTGCTTACTTTAAACAACATAAAAATCCACTAAATGCAATACGTTTAGGAGTTGGCATCAGTTGCTTTGGCGTTATCGATGCCGTCGATCAAATTCAGGAAACGAGAATTACGAGTGACGAAGGTGCAAAAAAAGAAGAACCTGCGAAAGATGGAACAAAAAAAGAAGGTGAAGAATTAGAACTTTGATATAGCAAATCGAGCTGTCGATTTTGTTCATTCGTTTTAAGTTTTACAAATTCTAGAGACTGATTTTACCATATTTTATTGTTTCAATTTTTTCTTTAGACTCACGGCCTTTCCAGAAGCTTCAAAAAGCCACTACCCAATCCAAGCAAGAAGTTCCAAGGAAACAGAAAAGGCGGAAACCCAAAAACCATCATGAATTGAGAGTTGTTGATTTTTATGTTATTAGAATTTTTGTTGTTTTTGTTGTTATGAAAAATAAATCGTTTTCCCGGTTTAGTCGATCCTGCTATCACAGCGGAGTTGATCAAGTTTCACAACGGAGAAAAGGACGAAAGATCCGCATACAGAGGTAAAAACGTCAGCTAGAAACCAAATTTGCACTAAAACACAAAATTTGCATTTAATTTTTGGTGGCTTAATGGCTTCAAGGATGGCCTTGAAAAAAAAATTCATTTTCATTCGCTCCATCGTCTGGGTTTCTCTTTTTCTTCGTCGTTAAAAGGTTTGCTTTTATTTTTGTTTTGATGTTGATGTCCTAGCGAATATCCATTTATTTATGTTCAGAGATATCACTAGATGTCAATATCGAAGAAATCAACGCCGCTAACAAGAACACCTATTGAAACAGCACCGACCACGGCAACTCCAACGGCTTTAAAAGCGACTTTGTCGAAAGAGCATGCGGATGATGCGCCGGAGAATGATGAGGAAAACGATGTGAAAACTGGTGAGCGATCTTTTGATTATTGTTAACTGAATAAAGTATTGATTAGCTTGGGATTTTACTTTTACTTTTCAGATGAGTTGACGGATATTGAAGTTCATTATGACGAGGAGACCACCGAGCGGAAAACTGAGGTTATTCGTGTTTTCCCTTGGCTTTGACTCAATTTTAGGCTACACTCAGCGTATTTCAACAACAGCTCCCAACAGCATGCTTTTGGGATACGTACATGCAGAGTATTATTGTCAAAATGGTTAGCTTTTTCTAATTTTTATTGAAAACAGTATTTTTAGGGGTTCTTCAACAACTTTGACACTATCGGCGCTATGTCTTTTCTCTTTATGCGATACGGACGTGAGTAATGTAAATTTGTTTGTAACTTGACTTATTTTAGCAGCAATTGTGACACCGCTGCTTGTTATGACACTTGTCTTGGGCTTGCCGGCTGTGATGTTGGAGTTGTGGCTTGGGCAATTCACATCGCTCGATCCAACGTTTCTCTATGAACGAATGGTACCAGCATTTGGGGGTGAGTAGTGATTGTTCTTATATTTTAAAGTCGCTATATTGAATGGGCATTTGAATGAGCACTTTTTGTTGACGAAGACAAACTGAATCTTTCAGGTATTGGCTACATGGTGCTTCTTGTGAATACCGCAACGCTTTGTCTCCAATTACGACGAGCTGTTGTATATATTTGTGGGTGTACATTCTATTTCACTAA